TGATCTTTAAAATTAGCTATCGTAAATGTTTATAATTATGATTGATCTTTTATAATATGCATTTGTTTATAAAAATTTCATATTTTTCGACATTTTCATGTCTTTTATGACGTATAACTTATTCAATAATGAAAATACGGCGATGGACCTTCAAGAAATTTTTGTTCACAGATAAAATACCTACAAAGTTATCATTCATTCATATTCGTATCTCTAACTGAATAATATACCCGTTATGAATTGTCCGACTTCTGCAATTCTGAAGACTCGACAAATCTACGTTTTTGGTGATATAAACGATCTGCCTTCAAAATCGGCTGCTCTACATCTAGTCATCCCCATCAGCCTCGGCTGAGTGGAATTTTATTATTATTATTATATCGAAGGTTAAGCTGGTCGACCCCTATTTCCGAAGCAGGTCTGCATCTTTACCTTGATTATAATTCAATACTGAGCTTCACATAAATATAGTAAGGAGGCATACTTGAAGGCTGGCTGTAAATCAAATTATCTGAAAGAAAAATTAGTTCAGGCCAGTCTCAACTCACTTATACTGTAGGTTAATGGACTACACCTTTCAGAAAACAACTACTCCCCTGGCTACTATCACGAAGGGCGTTGGATTATATCCGACAGGTGTCAGTGCAGGATTATTCACATATGCTTTTGGCGGTACAACTGCCGGAATCGATTTTTTTCAATTATTGGAATGGGCCCACTTGCAGACCAGTTTCGGTAGTGTCCATCATCAACATTAAGTCGATGATTTTCCATGATTAAAAATCAAATTCCTTTCAGAGTATCATTCCTCGAATCCTCGAATAAGGCTGAAGCGAACGACAAACGACATATTTGTCATCTCTCCATCTGCCTGTAAACGAGGTACTAACCAAGTATGCCCCTTTACTGTATGTGAAGATTTTGATATGCGGTTGGTTAGTACATTCATCGTCTCCCGAGCTCTTACGGCCACGTTTGAATTCAGCTTCCCAAAATTTGACTGTCTAAATAACGATGCAGAGTCCCCATATACAAAATCCAACTCAAAACGACTGTTACATAACAACTGCGCGTCCAAAATGGCTGAAACTTGGGTGACTAACTGTCAACAGATGAACAACGAAGTTCAAAAGCTTTTATTTACGAGTGCTGCCATCTTCGTGTTAAGGTCGGAAACTTTGCAAAAAACCCTCGTATTTCTATATTCATCTTTTTGAGACATGGAATTATTTCAAGACCATCTACAATAATATTTTTGGATCTATTTCTCGTCGATAAGAAAATCTAATTAAACCGATAAATCACATTAGTAAAAAACGGATAAAGTATATATTTTCTGAGAGGATAGAATCGATTCGCGCTTTATCTTGTCGAAAACAAATATTTTCAATTCATTCCAGATAAGTGTTGGACCGTTTATTATTACCCTGTCTGCCGTAATACCGACTTATCAATTTTGCAATATGTTATGTTGAGCTTTATTAATTCGACAAAATACATTGTATTAGCAGGAAAACATCTGATGTGAAATGATGTATTAGCTGTTTTTGGCTCATCGTATTTATGGAAATGATGCGAGATATGATGGAATTTGATTGATTGTTATCTGTGTTTGAAATATATTTCGTTGTGTGATGTGCTACAACTGTTTTTTTTTGAATAATTTGCTTCAGCGTATGGGTTTCACTTCAGTAAATAAATTTTCTTTTGTGTACCCCTTTTCGTTTCCTCTTTAAAATAATCAGTACACATTCAATTCTCACGATCTTTCCCGTTCATAAATAGAACTACTTCGTAGACTAGGTTAGATTATAGGTTAAGTTATAGGTTAGGTTGGTTTAAATAATGAAATTTTCGCGGGGCTTCAAGCTCACCATGTTTCAGAGGCACCTGCAAACCGGCATAGTAAGAGACCTTTACGCTGAGCTCAGTACGTCGAAGAGAACACGCAACGAAATGACAACCCGACGAGAGCACCTCCAACTCTCCTACACTCGGTAACTGTTGGTCTACGTAGTGTCAAGCTCAGCACGCTTGAGACACAAGACCGATTGTCACTTTCGAGTGACGTCAGGTTTGTTCTGGTCTGGTCTGCTCTGGTTTGTTCTTGTCCTGATAGTCCAGGACATGAATAATGCTGTTGCCCTCCGTTGACCTGGCTCGAAAGCCTTACAACTGAGCATGCCTCCTCTGTCTAACACCACGACTGTCAAAGGAACTTCTACTTCTCAAAATCCTCCCCCCCCCCTTCGTGCAGCCGGCGTGTAACGTCGGTCACACGGAGGGATGAACTAGCGGGGTAAAAGATCCAATTTTATTTATTCACAAACAAATCAATAAATAAATATTACTGGAGTTTTTTCCCAACACCAACACGTGTAGTTTCGTTTCTCTTTCAATAGTTTCTTATGGAGAAGCGTGCACTTAGACAGGCAAAGAACAGGTGGCACGTGCTAGGACATGAACAGAACCCCCCCCCATAGGACACTAGATAGATAGATCTTTATTTAAATAGGATATCCTAATAATATACAAATCAACTAGAATGGTAGAAATAAAAAAAGGTATGTGTTACATATAGAAATGACTTAAATGTATGACAAACACAAGTTCAATAAAATATTTTTAAAGACATTACCACAAAAACAGCAACATTATACATTCGAAAAATTTCAATGCAACATGTAGAAAGATAAATTGCATAATTATTTGAAATATATAACGAACATTAGATGAATGGAATTATACAAATTACAGCTACAGCTAACAAAGACATAATACATATCATATTTGTACATTTAAAACAAATTTCTTCAGTTCATTTTTGAACATGTTCAGAGATGGGCTATTTTTAATTGCACCAGAGAAGGAGAAACGAAACTTCACGTCATGTTCCCGTCCCGGCGTGTTCCCGTCCCGGCGTGTTCCCGTCCCGGCGTATTCCCGTCCCGGCGTGTTCCCGTTCCGGCATGTTCCCGTCCCGGCGTATTCCCGTCCCGGCGTGTTCCCGTTCCGGCATGTTCCCGTCCCGGCGTGTTTCCGTCCTGGCGTTTTCCCGTCCCGGCGTGTTCCCGTCCTGTCGCAGTGTGCATGGAACTTGACCCGGAAAGTTACCGTGAACAGTTGAACAGCCTTCCTTGATTTATGCAAAGATTCATATCCAACTGTTTTACAGAATCTGTAAAGCAGTCTCCTAGTCGTACGTTTCCCCATTACCGTTGCTATTCTTCCGTGATGCATTTTCTCTCTCCATTCTCACTATACATTCTCCTCACATTCCAAGTGACACTATATCTACACAAAGCTTTGGTAACCTCCCCGTGGACCTATTTTGTTACCTAGGTTGTAATTATGGTGTCCCCTCCGCCAAACAATTTTGTCCGTATCCCCCTTGCACTCCTTGCTTCAGTCATTCGTTGTATCATAGATACCTTTTTATTCTTCACTCGTCCTGCTTTCATCTGTTCCACATCCATGGCAGAATCACTAACTAGTCTCACACTCGCATTCATGCTTCACATACAAATCGCCCTTTCTATCGCAATCAATTCTGCCTCATTCCCGATGCCCTGTTCGGTAATCCTTTCATTTCCTAGAACCTATGCCCATTCTTCCGTCCTCCACGTACACCTCAGTCCGGGATAGTACGAAATTATATATTGAACCAAAAGTGAAATCCAACGTCCACTCAAAAATCAGAAAGAGTACTTTGGCTGTACCAACATTTTGTCATTATTGTGCGGTGTAAAAAGAAATATAAAAATACGATTATGGTTTTGGAAGGCTACAACAGTTAGGCGATAAATCAGTATAATACGGGCAGGGGGTCTTTCAAATTATAAAATATTTAAAACGTTGTATGGGCGCTAGCGTTGTTATGATAGAAGAATGATGCGACTTTTTATAATGTTCTTCTGCGTGGAAAGAGGAAAACTTACGGCAAAAAGAATCTTGTAACAACAATGTTAACTGAATAGTGGCAATTTGTCCAGTGAAGCCGAGCGATAATTTTTTTGGAAATGCTTCGGGAACGAACAATTTCCAGTTCATACAAATACATTCACGTTTTCTCACCTCTAAAAATGGAATTTTGCAATCCCCAAGTGGATTTTTTTGAGCATTTCCTTGCACCAATACCAACGAGCCTTTATTTGAGCGTCGCGTCGGTCAGATTAAGCGGAATCTCTCAGCACACAATTCAATAGTATAAATTTCCGCTTGAAATACAATCGCTTAGGTTCCTAGGCAGGTTGATATCTCTGTCCTAGGTCTGCGACTGAAAACACCGGAATCGGAAGATATTTTTGATCCATTTGTGAAAAAGCAACTATCTGCTCGTAAGATTTCCTTCTCCTGGAGGATCCAGTTGTCTCTACTCGGGAACAGTACTTTATAAGGCAGTTCGTAGTTGACAGTTGGAGGCATAAAGTCAGAGGTAATTTCCAGAATGCTGTGACTTCCAGTGTCAAAGAGTAGTCTGTTGCACTCTGCATTAAATTGATTTGTGCAACTGGCAATGTGCACAA